CGCCACCCGGGTAAAATTCTAAATTTCCTTCCAACTGAAAATATTAGGTGTGTCCCGCGCGCTCATATGACCTTATGCAGTTGCGAGCGCCGTAAAATACTTTACAAAAACAAAAACAAAAACAATTTCTGTAGTTAGTTGGGAGTTTGAATTATTTCGTGACGTAAGCTTTTTCATTAAAAAAAAAAGTTTTGTCAACCGCTCCTAATTTCTGCTCACCAGGACAGCGAACAGTTTCAGTCATTTTGCGTAGATCTGTATTATCTTCTTTATAGCAGATCTGCAATCTTACATTAATTAATTAATTTTTTTAAAAGCTATTGTAACAGAATTATAATATTTCGTGACTCGTATATCTTTTTTAAAAATCACAGAACTGCAATCTTACATTAATTTGTTGAAAGCTGTTGTAGAAGAATTATATATTATATATACAACCCAGTACGCTGTATTTCAGGACGTACATTGTGCCGGGGGTGGTACCTCACCTCTACCGTGCCAAGGCAGACTGACGTATTTTAATACTATATTAGATATTATACTTATATTTGTGAGGCAGCGTGGTGGAATCAGGCTCTCGTCAAAATAATCAAAGTGAAGAACTTGCATTTTTCCGCAGGTTTTTGAACTTCTATCAAATTTTTGTGTTTTGGCTCAACACCTTTCATGCCCATTAAAGAACTCATTTCTGTGTGGATTTTTTCGAAAAATGTTTATTAAAAGCACAAAAAATGTAAATGTTCAGTTACCACGGACTCTTAAGCTAAGGAAATAACTAATCTTTGGGCGGCTATTTTCCCACTAGTTTTACCTCTAAAAACAGGTGACCCCCACTTCCTTCATTCACAAATATTTCTATTTGTTTTCAAGATAAATATATATTTTTTCAACCAAATAAAGACAAGTGAACAAGCTTTAAGATTATACCGATAACTGTACATGCCAAAACTTTGACGAGAGCCTGATTCCTCCATGCTGCCTCGATATTAATTCTTGCATCTTCGTTTAAATGGCGCCTATACCCATTCTGCATGTTGTGTCAAAGGAAAGGAAGACGTACCTGCACTATAAATAGGATACATGTATTTCACTATGGCAAACAGACGTAACTGAAGGGTCATGCCCATCTTCCACGACAGCGTGACGTAACTTAAAATCATAAAAAAGTGGCACAACAGAGCTCCTCACTCTCCACGCATAGTGCACGGGAGCAGTCACACACACATGAAAATGCTTTGAAAATGCTCGTCTGGGACGTTGAAAACTAAAACACTCAAGGGTGATGTTACCCCCCC